GTTCAAGTTCATGTTATAGCTATGCTTATATAAACCCTAGTTTGTTGTACCGGGGAAAACGTGAGAAATTACTACAGAATTTAGAACCAAGGAAGCTATTTTTAAGAAAGTTAGTGTCAGTTATACACGTGGAAGCTCTAGCCACTAAACAGATGTTAACATTTGTTTGTTTCGTTCAAATCTTCCCACAGATCTGTTAGCACATATCCGTTCCTAATTTTGATTTGACAGACTAGAGGGGAAGCAGCTGGAGCTATTCCTGTGTGATCAAATAGTGAAAGTCGACCATTGCTTTTATAGCTCACCCATGACCCCAAAGTGCGGAGCTCGTTTTTGCGGCAACGTGTAGTCACCCACGAATTTTTGAATACACAGTTAGGGCACGCTAAGCACTAGGTCTCTCGGATGCTGACGTTAACTCGAGTCAGTTATGCTAATATTGAGTCAGTTACGTTAAGTTAAGCCCGAGTCATCTGTGGTTCTGGAAGTATGAGAAAGTTATATCGATGTCTGGCCGAGATAATTAGCCGTGGCTTGCGGCTCAGAGAACAGCTCTGAGTTTGTTGTTGTTGTTTTTCAAGTACAAACGTTTAGCTCATAGCTCCGTCATTTCTTGACCGATTTGAGATCCAATTACAGTTTTAGGCTCAGGAGGATAAACCCTTTCGATTGATATATTTGATCACATCCAAAGTCTCATAGGTCAATTTACCCTAATTCTGCCTAAAAGAATTTCAACTTGAGATTAGGCTGGTAGAGATCCTGATGAGTAATAAAATCGAATCGTTTATGTGCGCGCTCCACGCCTGGTATTGCTGGCGCACAAAAATATAGCTAATAAAAAGGGAAAAAGAGGTCTCATAAATTAGTTTACTCTAATCCTGCCTAGAAGAATTTCAAGTGCCGCGACTATTGAGGGTTCCCTCTTGTCGCACTTGCAGAAGCTCGATTCGATTTTCCTGAATCAGTATTGTTGATACACGGCGAAGTTGGTTGTGTAATTGGATACCCAAGATAGTTACACTCATGTAAATTCTACACTATTATCCTGACGTAAGAACGAGTCAAGATTAATTGTGCTTTATAATAAAGATATCCTAAGTTCCATGCTACCCTTGGATCTTCTTCCTTCATCGTCACTCTCATTCAGTCTATGACAAACTCAGAATTACTCGTCTTGACAAACCTGTACGTGGACAACCACTTTTAAAACTACGTATTAGCCAAAGGCACAAATATCCATTGCAGGTGCGTGGGTGATAAGTATATGTTCTAATCGGATTATTGTGATTCTACTTTTTTGGCCATTTTTTTCTCTTGAAACTTAACAGCCTTTGATTTGGAGGCGGAAACTTGGAACTTTTAGCTTCCGAGACTTCGTCAATTTGAAGCCCTTGTTTAAAATCTTGTTAACGGCACTATAGATATTGTCATCTTCATCGAAGAGTTATGTTTAAAAACCACAGCAATGTTGGGGAAAAACACATTGTTTTGGATTATCTTGGGGTGTGGTTTCCGAGCCCGTTGTTGTCCTAAGCTCTGCTGTACGAGGTTTTCTACGAGAACACTGGAAATTTCTTTCTTTGAAATATTGTATCCTTTGGCTCTACATTTTAATAATCTCGTGTAAGAAGATTTCTGTTTGTTAAAGATGCTATGCGTTCGTGCAAGCTCGAGTCAGTTATCTTGTTAGATGATTTAGGTAGTTATACTAATGTAAGCCTGAGTTAATTAATCTAGTGTATGCTGGAATCAGTTGTGCTAAAGAAGTTCGAATCACTTATATTAATTTATACATTCGGAGTTATGCGTATTCAAATTGACTACGTATGATACATTACGCAGGTGTAATTTAGCCATGTTTTATCGTGGTATGAGTGAATTATTTATAAAGTGCGTCTGAGAAAATTAAGAGAGGCCCGTACGCAAAATGTTTCAAAGTGGGGTTTTAATTTCTGAGACCAAAAGCCAACACATATTGTGCGAAGCACAATAAGCATGCAAAGTATGCTAATGCTACGGGGGTCAGGGGGGTATACCCCACAGAAGACAACTGTAAAGAATCCGGCCTACAAAACGTGACAGTAGCAATACGGCTTCGGATTTCCAATTACAAAGTTTCAACAGAAGCCATTGCATGCGACTATTTCAAGCCAAATAACGTTAATGTTTCATTAGTAGAATGTAGACTATGTAGAAGACGTTAAATATCATAAGCAGCTACGTTCGGTCAAACCTCCTCGAACCCTCTACCCGTTGCTTACGTGCGTGTTAAGGTGCTGTAAACATGAAATTATTATGTCAAAGTGTAAGCATGAAACTATTATAGCAAAGTATATGTATGGAACCAATATATCAAAGTGTGAAGGCCTGGCAAGGCTCGACTCGCAATCTGCGGGTCGCGGGTTCGCACCCCCATCCCACCAAACATGCTCGCCCCTTTTAGCCGTGGGGGCGTTATAATGTGACGGTCAATCCCACTATTCGTTGGTAAAAGAGTAGCCCAAGAGTTGGCGGTGGGTGGTGAAGACTAGCAGCCTTCTCTCTAGTCTTACACTGCTAAATTAGGGGAT